GATCAGAACCCAATTTCCTTCAAACCGAAATTTCCAGCAAGTCAAACGGTCTGCCTCTATCTCTCTCTGCTTCTCTCTCTCTCTCTCTCTCTCTCTCTCTCTCTCTCTCTCTCTCTTTATTTTAAGCTCCGTCCTCCTATTGTCCGAAATAGTAAAACATAATGATTCCCAGTGAACAAGCTTTACTCTCTAACAATAACATTATTCTTCTGACTTCCTTGCCTTGCAGACTCGTCGAACATACAAGTCTATGGGTTTTGTCAGTGCTGGCCATCGCTACCCTCAACTACACTTCCCTGACCACCATGCCATTCGGCCACCAGCCGAACCCTCATCCAGAGTTCCTCATCAGCCTCACTCTATGCGGCAACACAGCGCGCTCTTTACTGATCGCCGTGCGGATTGCTCTAGCCAGGGATGTCATCTTCAGTAAGACCGACGCAAAACGGATGCGCAAGACACATGACCAAACTGGCAATAGAAAGCTGGATTTTTTCTACGCCGTTTTCATCGCAGTCTCATGTTTACTATGTCTGGGGTTCAAGGAAAATCTTTTTCTTGGTATAACTTCCCCTCTCATAGAGCTGGGTGCCACCCCGTTGGAATGTTGTCGCATGATAAGAATGGCCAAAAACCACATCGGTTCGAACTCGTATCGTAAAACTTCTATCCTCTGCTTCGTAATGACTGTCGTCAGCCGACTGGGTCTGCCAATATTATTTTTTACATTATCCTTACACCAAGAGTCCCCTTTCGTCATGGGCAAAGTGTTAGTAGCGTGGTATTTCACCAGCGCCATCATTTACGTAGTTTTCAACAGTTTGCTGCTTTACCAGAGTGTGAGACGTTTGTGGTCGTCTGTTAAAAACACAATCCCTCTCCCAACGTCTACCCATCGTCCATACCCCCCACCTCAGCCATTTTCTATCTACGACTATCCGGAAATGCTTTCCAATGACATTCGTGATTCCGAGGATTGCACAAAAGAGGATGGCCAAAAAGCCGTGACTCCGTGGTACAAGAGTTGTGACTACGTTTTCCTTCGTTCGTATGATAATCGTAATGTCACGTGTGTTTTATTCGGGGAGGAAGAGGAGAAATCCAACGCTTTCAAGCGAAAAGAGACGTCAAAACATACTCTTCTGTTCAAATCGCGCCGTCCTTTTGAGTCGGCGACTGACAAACTCACACCAGAACCACCACTGAGGAAGACGTCGTTGAGTTGTGATACTATAGATAGCCAACAAAGTGATTCTTTACTAGAGAGCTCAGACTTCTTGAATGTGGAGGCGTCAGGGAATGCGGTGTCTACTGTAGACTTCACGAGTTCTGAGAAACAGAGCCTTGACACCAGCAACGCTACACAAATTGTTGACAACTAGCTTCCGATTTCCTTGTATTGCTTTTCTTTTTCTTCGTTGTCCTCCATGTCTTGAGCATCAGCATCACCATCACCCACACCATCACCCACACCATCATCATCACCATCACCATCACCATCACCATCATCATCATCATCATCATCATCATCATCATCATCATCATCATCATCATCATCACGTTTACTTAGTTCACATCTAAAACTGATTCCCTTTAAAAGACTGGACTTGTTTAGTTGGCTAGTATTTATTTGTCAGAGTAAAATATTGACAGACTGTAGGTCAGTATCTCCGTTGTTGCTACTCAAACACTGCGCTTATGCAAACTGTTTTGTACTCATGAAGAGAAAGATAAGTTTGAAGTCTACGGTGGTTCTTTTTCCTGTATAATCGTGCAGGAAACACCGTAACGTTTGTTTGTCAATTTGCTTTTTTGTATTTACCTACTGTCTCAGACTCGATGACCACAAGAAGACAATAAATAAACTCTTCAGTTTTTGCGCGGATCTGTACCAAATTTGAAAGAAATTATGTTCGATCATATGGACCTCATAATCTATGCTCAAATTTGATCTGGTTGAACGAGCACTGCTGCAACAGCCTTGTCTCTGGGTAACCCAGAAAAGGCCTTTTGTGTCAGAAAATAAGCTGGATCCTTTCCACTAAAAAGTTTCAAGTCTGTTATTGTGGGGAGTAGGGGTTGATTCCAGATCTAAGTTTAGTGCATCTTCTGAAAGAGCAATTTGAGGGGCTGGTACGTACATTTCAAAGAGAGGGAACGTCTGCTGTAAGCCTTTAGGAATGAGATAAAGCATTAACATAACAGTGCTAAATGAGGAATATATTGACAGGTCGCACGTTGGTCGTGACAACTCCAAAGAATTCTACTCGAAGGTGTAGGGGTGAACTAGGCTTGTCAAAGTCCATGGCTAACATAATCTTAAAAACATGGTTTGAAATTAAGAAAGCCACCCGAGACAATACTTCAGAGACAAAAACAATGAGTGCTTGGGATTTTAAGACAACGGAGAGAGAGTGAGAATTTTCTATGGTCTGTTTCGTTAGCGATGAGGCTCATATCTGCGTGAGTGAGAAGGTTAATTCTGGGTAATGAGCATATGAATGACAAGATGGTGTGAATGAGAGAGACTTTTAGACTATAAAGAAGCAACAGCATGATGAATACCTTTAAGCCATTGAAATTTCACAGAGCCAATATACACAGATTATAATTGCAGATTCATCATTTGAATCAGTTATGGCAGTCCATAGGGTAGTTCTGCAACTTTGAGGCAAGAGGTCAGCTATGGTTTATGCAGGATGAGACAGGCCTTCACACTGCAAAACGTGTTTTAACCCGCCTGACGGGGCGTTTTGGAGATCGTGTCATCAGCGGCTTAAAGAACAACCACGGAGCCTACACAGTCCAGTTATGAAAAGTGAAAATTCCAAAACATTTAGGAACCAAGAAATCGAAACTTAGAGTACCACGTCGCAACAATGTGAGAACTCTACACAATATACTTGAGTCAGTACAAGTAAATGCATTGCGTGTGGAGAATCTTTTGGGAAGACAACATTTTTATTATTATATTATGTAACTGTCTGTCCGGATGGTTCCTTCGGGTTTCTACCAAAGGACTTTGCTGTACATTAAGCTCTCACCCAGATCACGGTGGATATGGGGTCCTTCTTCCTTGTCAAGGCAGCAATTGCCAATCAGACGTGGACACGTCTCTCTTTAAATTGAAAAGCGTTTTAAAAAAAATTATTTACCTTTTTTGAGGCCTTCGAGTTTGGGACACCATGTACCTGTGAGTAAATGTGTGCCCGTGGAGTGCAGAAGAGATAGATAGATTGGTTGATAGATAGATAGATAGATAGATAGATAGATAGATAGATAGATAGATAGATAGAT